CCTCATTTGCGCGCAATGCCGCCCAATAAGTTTAGACTCTTTCATGTGACTCCGCATATCCGCGTTAAATTAGGTGGGCCAGTCCGGCGGTTGCAAAGAAAGAATGCTAGAGTCCAGTCCCGCGTGTCACGCGGAATTGTGTACGGATGGGATGGAAAAAATATTCATTGCAATCATGCGGTATCATTAACTAATAAAATACAAATAAATAAGAAAGTAAACTCAACACAAGTCAACAACTATTCATCCATATAAGTAAATAATTACTCATTATTCTTCTACGTAAGTTAATGAAATTTATTTTATTTATTGATAATACCATGTCATAAATATTGGGCTAAAAAATAAAAATTAACAATAATTTTCAACGATTAGACTAAACACAAATATAATTTTAAGACGATTTTAATCGAAAAAAACAAAAATAATTTTTGTTATGTCTTTTAAGATTTAAAAGATAAAAAAAAAAAAGAAATAAAGTTATGATCAATTAAGAGTATGAACACAAGAAAGACAACACCCTAGAGCACCTTTAACACTGGTTGATTCCCCTACTCTTTCATTTTAAAAAACAGCCAATGCTATGCATATTTAAAAATTTGACTGGTAGTGATTAAATTTGAACGAAATTAGTAAGATTTTGAATTGATAGATTGGAATTCTCGCAGATTAGGGTTTGATTCTTACAGATACGGTACCACAGTTAGTAATTTTTTGTGAGTTGAGATATAAACTTTTGGGGTCTACTCGTAATAAAATAAACTAAGGTCGATTCTATGTCTAACGTTCCGGGTTTTCTGGTCACATAAATTGCCTCTAATTCCAAAAAATGACATCCTTATTCAATTATATACGATTAGACTTCTAAGTGCATCTCTAATCATGACTTAAATTTGAGTAAAAAACTCGATTTGGTGTAAAGTACTCAAATGACCAAACTTAAATATATACTCAAATCTTTTAAAAAATTATTTTATTATTTCAAGACTCATTTTAATACATAAAAAAATATAAATTTTAATCGACTCAAATTTTAATACGTAAAAAATAATTTTTAATCAACTTGAATTAAATTTTAATTGGCACACATTTTAATAAGTAAAAAATATAAATTTCAATCGATTCGAATTGAATTTTAATTGGCACTAACAACTCAGGTTGAGCTCAAATTGACTCAAATTTTAATTCGTAAATTTTTTTTAATAAGCTCAAATTTTAATACGTAAAAAAATTAAATTTAATCAGTTCAAATCGAATTTTAATATTTAAAAAAATAAATTTTAATCAATTCAAATTTTAATATGTAAAAAAATAAATTTCAATTGACTTGAATTTTATGCAAAAAAATTGTTTGAGATTTATGTAGGAGTAATTTTAATATTTTAGATAAATTTTTTTTTATTAGAAATGGTGGTTTTAAGGGTAAGACGTGTAAGTGATTTTTAAATATAAACTAAAAGGAGTATCAATAGTATTTTGAATAATAGAGAGGATATCTTTAAAAAATATAATAAACTAAAAAGAATGTGACTAAAATTTTTCCTTTTATTTTTTTTTAGATATTCAGATTTATTTCTAAATTTTTCGCGCCGTAGAATTCTCTGATGATTATTAATTTATGGTGTATTTGGTAATATTTTTATTTTTATATTTTTTAATAAAAAAACAAAACAATTTTTTTTTATAATCAATATATATATATATATATATATATATATATATATATATATATATATATATGTATATATATATATACATATATATATATACATA